AGAACTCCCTGTGCGCCTAACCTTCCCTCTGCTTCACCTTGAATAGGGCGCCTATAGTCAATGTTCGACGTTTCCGACTTGCAAATTTGGACAAGAACAGCTCAGCAAATTGCTCAAAACACTCGATGCGCCCCTCCTCGATTTGATGGTACCAGTCCAAGACCAAGCCCGCAAACATGGACGGAAACACCTTACACAACGTAGCATCTGAGCTGTTGTACAGTTGCATCTTCGTGAAGTAGCTGTTCAAATGATCTTCTGGATTGACCACCCCATCATAGCTAGGTAACGGAGGGATCGTCGTTCCCGCCGGTTCCATCAGGATACTTCACGCCAGGGGCTGCCGGACGCCAAAGCATCTAGCAATTCTCCTAGGCGCCCAGACGTCATCAGGACCCGTCTGCGTGTGTTCGGCGGGCAGCCTCCAGGCACGCGGGTGCCCTACTCAGTGTGATGCGGAGGTCCGTATTGCAAGGACTCCGAGTCTTCCCCCGCCCTTTCTCGCTTTCTCACTCCTGGGCTATACATCATCATGTCCACGCTTCGTTCCCCTTCCAACTCCCTTCTGAGCGCTGCTATGGCCCGATCTTGGTCAGCTATGATTCGAAACAACTCTCTCTTCGTCAAGGATTCCCCTTCATCCATCGACGGGCGCCCATTGCTGCCTTCCCCATCCACATCCATGCTCAACTCCTGACTCAGCTGACGCTCGCCCTCCTCGTGATTCAAGTTCTCCGATCTCGAATTATCCTCCCCTTCATTTCCTTTGTTCATGTTCTCCATGCGCTCACTTGATCCTTCCCCTACCTGGCGCGCCTCTTCCCGATCTACAACTACTAATCACACTTGGGGCGCCTGAATCCTGCACAAACAAGCGCCTAAAGGGCTTCTGAGTGCCCGTTAGCACTCCAACGCTCAAGTCAGTGCCAACTCTAGAGAGATAAGTGCTAAGAGAGATTTTAGTAAGAGAAGCCAACCTGCGTAAATGCCACCTACCGAGTACTATTTATACTCGTCGAGGTCCCGACCAAGCTCCTAAAATTCAGCTCCACGTCAGCGCGTCATTTATTGCTCGGTATGGCCCAACGGTCGGGCGCCTACATGTGGCAGCTTCTGGACTCCTAAGCCTAGGCGCCTGCAAGGACCACACTGCCAGGTGGCACGCCCTCAGCCTCCTGGTCCCCGAGATGCACGGTTCTCGCCCTATTTTTGTCGTTATGCGCCTGCTCACCCTTGTATGGGCCTAACTCCTAGCTCTCAAGTGGGTTTGGGCCTAGGCAACCCCCATGGGCCCATGTTCCCCAATGGTTCATTTATGCTTACCCAACAATTTTTATTAAGTGTTGAGTTTTAAATTAAAATAATAAAAGTGATGTGACAAATCAAGGGTCACGGGATGCTTAACAATTGAGAAAATTTGAAATGGTGAAGCCTAATTTAAGAAATTGTATAATAAAGTGTATTGATTTTAAATGATTTGGGTTGGTGTAATTTATTGGCTCCGGATAGCATAACAACACCTAAGGTGTTGTTATTATAACAACAGGGGTATAAGGGTAACTGCACAAAAATTAAATAATAAGTTGTTTTCTTTTACCTGGCATTAATTTTGAAATTCAAAATTAATAATAAAATTCATTGAAGCGCGCATTGAGACATTTCCGTTTTCCGCTTTCCCCTTTCCCCTCTGCTCACGAACTGCTCTCCGACGGGACGTCTCCTTCGGTTGCTCTCTCCCTGTTCTCGCCACCAAATTTCCATCTGCATCGAGCGATTTCGTCTGCGGCTTGTGGATTTCTTTCGCGCGATTCTGTTTCCTCCGTCGCCGAAGTGAATTTCGAGGCATGCCGGTGATTTCCTCCGCTAAACTGTCTTCTCTTCCGTCGTCAGTTTTGGTCTGCGAAGTCCACTTGTATGGTGTTAGTTTGGCGTCGCCATTTTCGTTTTCGTTAGCATTGTCATTGCTTGCTTCTTCTATTGAATTTACAACCTTCGTTTTCATGTTTGCCCTCTGTTACTTTCGTTTTCCAGTTTTCTGTGATGTTTTGACGCATGCAGTCTAAATTTGTTGAAGGAGACGAGGAAATTTCATAGTTGTGCGTTCTGGTTAGGTTTTGATGGATGTTTCTTCATTTTTGTGGTGTGCTTTGATTATTTTAGGGTTTCTGGTTTCTCATGAGTCGTTTGTGGTGTTGTTTAGTAGTTCTGTTGTTTTGTTCTATATTTTGGTGGTGTGCTTTGTGTTTGGTGACAGTTAGGGTGTTTGTGGGTTCGATTGGGGCCTTTCTGGAGGGTTTTAATAAAACTATTGTGTATTTTCAGGCTGCTGTTGGTGGTTCTTTTAAAAGGTTTTCTGGTTTGTGTTTCGGATTTCACAGTTTGGTTTAGAAGATTTACTGGTGTGCATTTGCAGTTGTTGTTTGTCTCCTTTACATCTGATTATTGAGTCGTTTGTGGTGGTGTTCAGTAGTTCTGTTGTTTTGTTCTTTTTTTTGTGGTGCGCTTTGTGTTTGGTGACATTTAGGGTGTTTGTGGGTTTGATTGGGGCCTTTATGGTGTATTTCCAGGGTGATGTTGGTGGTTCATTTGCAGTTGTTGTTTGTCTGCTTTAAATTTGATTATTGGATTGTTTTCATGGTTTTACAGTTTGCATTAGGCCCTTGATGGTTTGGATTTTATATGTTGTGGTATGAGATTGCTTATGTTGGTTTGTGTTTTGGTTTGCTTTGTAGGCATGGCACCTGCTAAGAAACGTGCAGTAAAGGGGAAAGAAAAGGAAAAAGTTCCAACACCTAAGCAAGAGAAAAATGGTGCAGTAAAGGGGAAAGAAAAGGAAAAATTTCCAACACCTAAGCGAGAGAAAGATGGTGCTTCTCCTGTGGCTGGAAAGCCGGGTAAGAGGCATCGTAGTAATACTAATCGTATTCTTGCCATTATGGATGCTGACAGTACAAGTGAAGAAAAACTGCAGATGCTTGATCCTCTGGGTTTTAGGGGTGTGTCGAGGGTTAAGCTTACGAGACTCCCGGATAATTTTACTGAATGGCTTTGAAAAAGTTTTGATGTCAGTTCAAGGTCTTTCCCGCTGCTTCGGTCAGGGAAGTTTAGAATTGGAGAGGCAGATGTGGAGAGAGTCTATGGTTTGCCGCGTGGACCGTATGCTGTTAAGCTGGATATGTTCAGTGCAGCCCAGAGGCACAAGTGGGGAATTGAGTTAGGGCTTTCCAATACTAAGAAAGGAAAGGCGACATTGGCAAACGTTAAACTGGCATTGGAAGAGGAGAGGGACAATAAGAAGTGGAGGGATCTTTTTGTACTGTATGCAATGGAGGCAGTTCTGTGTCCCAGTGGAAATTTGAAGATTAACCTCTCCTATGCTGGTTTTTTGCAAGATGAAATGGTCGCTGACTTCACCCAATATAATTGGTGTAAGCATGTGGCTGACCATTTTAATGACAGTATGGTTGAAGTGGTTCAATCAAAGTAAAAGTTCCCTGGTGACGTTCATCTTCTTTTTGTAAGTGAATAAATATACCCCTTTTCGAATTTTGGTTTACTGTTTCATTTATGGTTTGTTTATTGACGAATGTGGTGTGGTTGAAGATGTTTATGGTTTGTTTAAGAATATTAATGGTTTTCTTTTGCCCCCCCTGTGTTATGTTTCTGGTACTGTTTTTCATTTATGGTTTGTTTATTGACGAATGTGGTGTGGTTGAAGATGTTTATGGTTTGTTTAAGAATAATTATGGTTTGCTTTTGCCCCCATTTGTTATAATGTTTCTGGTATTGTTTATCATTTATGGTTTGTTTATTGACGAATGTGGTGTGGTTGAAGATGTTTGTGGTTTGTTTAAGAATATTTATGGTTTGCTTTTGCCCCCGCCCCCCTGTTGTGTGGTGTGTATTATAATCTTTCTGGCACAGTTTGTTTGTGGTTGCTTGACTTCTTTCTGTTTGTATATGTGGCAGATTTCGATTCTTGACCGTTTGAAGAACCCCCCTGAGCTGGCCATACCGACCTGTAGGCACAGGTCGTACAAAGTCGCAAGTGCTGGTTTTAAACATGGTGCAAGCTAGCCGTGTGATGTATCACGCGGTGGAAGAGTAGGAGGAATTTCTATGTGGTGGAAGGAGGAAATACATGTCGAGGTGATGTGGGATGATACAAACTTTATTGACGTAAAGATTGAGGAAAGCAGGGGAGAATTTTGTAGGTTTACGGGGGTGTATGGTTGGTCGGAAAGTCGTGATAAACATCGGACTTTAGAGATGATCCGCTGGCTAGCACAAGAACGGCATGGCCCTTGACTTTGCGGTGGTGATTTTAACCACATTATGACTGACAATGAGAAGAAAGGAGGTAATCCAGGAAGGCAGAGATGGGGGCATTCGTTGACTGTCTTGCGGAGTCAGGACTACAGGATATGGGTTTCCGTGGCTACCCCTATACTTCAGGATCTAGTAGTTCGAGTTTCCTTCATTTGATCCACTACCACCCACAGAACCTATAAATACCCCCCCCCCCCCAATCCCACCAAAACTCACACCACTCCACTCTTCTTCCTCTTTTCCTTCCACCACTCTTGTAGAAAAGAATATGCTATGTGGTTGCGGCTAAACCCGATCTTTTGCATCAAATTTTTTTTCTTTAGTTTGGTACCTCTATCCCTCAAAAGTGTTGAGATGGACCCGAGTATTTACGATCTTAGATTATACATTCAAGACGGACCGCAAGAAACCGATTCGTTAGATGAGCAACCTTACCATCGGTTTGAAAGTGTTTGGGAGGCAGACCCGGTTAGTATTTCCTCATGTACCTTTTCCTTTTTTAAATGTGTTATTATTATTTCTAATTTTTTCGTATAATAATTAAGGTTTTTTTTATAGAAACAACTTGACGTAATCACCCATCGGTCGCTATCTCGCTTGCCTAAATGGAATGTTAGGATCAAGCCATTCATTGAACGAGCGGGATTGATGAGGGTGCGAAACTTTGTGGGATGGAGATGAACAACAACCTCCTTAAGGCAATGGTGGAAAGGTGGAGGAAAGAAACACACACATTCCACCTTATGGAGGGAGAGATGACGATAACAGTAAAGGACATTGCCATGCTGACAGAGCTTCTAATCAATGGTGATGTCATAATAATGTCTTCATCCTCCTCTCCCAATGTATCGCAGATAATGGGGCGGCGATCCGATCGCATCAGATCAAGGTGTGTGACTCATGCTTGCTGGCCGCATGGACCTCCATTCCTCGTTAGCCGTGTAACTATCGAGGCGTTCTTCAATGAAACCCCTCACTCGACGCCAGTTTTCCCAAGTATAGGGGTAGCCACGGAAACCCATATCCTGTAGTCCTGACTCCGCAAGACAGTCAACGAATGCCCCCATCTCCGCCTTCCTGGATTACCTCCTTTCTTCTCCTCGTCAGTCATAATGTGGTTAAAATCACCACCGCAAAGTCAAGGGCCATGCCATTCTTGTGCCAGCCAACGGATCATCTCTAAAGTCCGATGTTTATCACGACTTTCCGACCAACCATACACCCCCGTAAACCTACAAAATTCTCCCCTGCTTTCCTCAATCTTTACGTCAATAAAGTTTGTATCATCCCACATCACCTCGACATGTATTTCCTCCTTCCACCACATATAAATTCCTCCTACTCTTCCACCGCGTGATACATCACACGCACCATGTTTAAAACCAAGCTCCAACCGGGTTTTCTCATTCTCATCCCTAAGCTGTTTTGTTTCCGTAAAAAAAACAACCTGGGGGGAAGCTTGTCGCAAAAGCGATTTCAAAGATCTAACTGCTCGTGTGCTTCCCATACCACGATAGTTATAGCATAAGAGCCTCATTTATGACCCGAAGGAGATTGGTTCCCCGCACCATCAGCCTTCCTTTGGGTTCGGTTACCTCCAATATCTTTCCGATTGACTTTCATCTGTGTATTCTCCCCTTTCTTTGGTTCCTTTTTGCATCCCGCATCTCCTTTCCCCGAGTTCTTACCTGCCTCTCCTTTACCATGTTGTGGCTTCTCCTGTTTGGTTACTTCTTTCTCATTCATAGGGCTGCCATTTTCCTTCCTTTGATTTTCTGTTGTCCCCACCGTATGGGTTTGTTCCTTCACCGGTTCACACGTCGTGGTAGCTGCATGTGGAGTTTCCTCCATTGCATGGGTTTGTCCACGTGAATTTTGATTTGGTGGATTGCCACCCTCCTTTTCCTTCCCTTCTCGTGCCTTAGTAGAGGTCCCTATGGTCATCCTCTCATCACCGTTCTCCGGTTCCTCGAGTCCCTGGGAGCGATTCATAGTAAAGTTTCCATCAGCCTTGCCTCCTCGTCCCTCCCTTCTTCCCGGAGCTCGGCTTCGGGTCTACACCTTCATCCATTCCCCGTATGTTCTACCCTGCGATGGGTCTTCCGGCATATCCACCTTCTCCTTCATAACATCCTCAGTCTCCATCTCCAGTCCCTCCGGAATACAGTGGCAATTTTTAGTAGATTTCCCATAAGTACCGCAGTGAGTGCATAGATCATCCAACCCTTCATACTGGACTAGATAAGTTGTGCCCTCAATTTTAAAATTTGATATCAACGGCTGGGTGAGATCAACCTCCGCACACAGTCGGGCATATTTGCCTCGAGCCCCAAGTTCAGTAGCGCGGTCGGCCCGGACAGGTTTCCCCAACCATTCACCAATCTTCATTACCGCTTCCTTGTTTATAAACTCTATCGGGAGTTCAAGTAGTTGAGCCCATACCATCGTTGGCGTCACCACTGTCTTCCATGGATTAAATCCTTTAAACCATCGATGAACTGTGAGGTAGGTATCGCCTAATAGCCATAGACCCCCCCATTGTAGCCGCTTCATAGTCTTTTTGATTCCGAAAACGAACCAGGAAACATCCATTCTGCATATCCGAGATTTGAATCTCCCCGTTCCTAGCCGAAAGGAAATTGAGACGTCGGGCAAGAGGGATGTATGAGACACGCCTCCCTAACCCTTTCATCACCAACGCCGATCTCCACTCCCTTCAAAGAGGGAAGGAAATTAATGAGAAGAAGAGAGTGAACGTAGAGTGTGACTTGGGGAAGAATGAGAATAAAAAAGGTAAAGATAGAACGTGTAATTGTGTAAAATGAGTGGGTGGATGAGTGTTAGGGGAAATGATAAAAGTGGTAAGTGGTAAAAAAAGGAAAATAAATATTCACCCCACTTTTCATTAAATGTCTCGGTTTGAAAGAAGAGAGATAAATTTCCATCATTAAAAAGTAAAAAATGGAAAGTAATACAATGGCCATAACTGCTGATTCGGGTCATCAGGGTTTGTCGGTTAACCGGTTGAATCAGTCAATACCCGCCCGACAATTCTCTTCGCGTTTTCAAGCAATCGAAACCGAAAGTTTGGACGAGTCCGATTTTCCGCAGTCGAACCGTCCGATCCGGCCCGATTTTGATAACAATGTTATATTCTGACACTTATCACCGATAACTTTCGCATTGCCACCTACGACAACGTTACACAATGCATACATTCTTGCAAACAATCACAAAGCGCTACTCTTACCACTAGCCCATCACAACCCACTTTCCTACCCAGCCCATTCCCTCTCCACCACCGCCGAGCCCACCTCTCTTTCAGCCCATCACCACCACACCCTGCCACTCCCCTAACCCTCTCCCTCTCTTCCCCCAAGCCCACGTACCGGCCCACCACACTACTCACCGGCGAACCCACAGCCCGCATTACGCCCTCTGTTCCATCCCGTCCTTCCCATCGTCCTCGTGCTCCCTTCGCTTCTTCCCACTATTCTTCTCCACCACTTCTTCCTTCTTCATCTTCTTCTTCTTCCATCTCAGACGCAGGCTTCCTCCCGCCGCCTTTCATTCTCCAGCCACTCGTCTCCACCTGTTTGATTGATTTCCTCTCGAATTGGTAAATTGGGTTCGTTCCAAGGTTCCTTTAGTTCCGGCCGACCCAGAAAGGTAAATATACTGCTCTTGATCTGTCCTCGATTCTTCATTCGAATTTCGTTAGTTTTCGTTATTGGGTCCTTAGGTTTTTGTCTTAGAGGTACGATCTTTTGTTGATGTGTTGGATTTACGGTGAAACAACCTCTGAATTTCTGTTTCTGCCGCCAATTTACAACTGAATCCCACGGTGATTGAATTGTTCACCTTTAGCTGTTAATAGGGCTAACTTTACCTTTCCTTCAATTTCAGATTTGGTTCTATGATAGTTTATATGCGGAATAGTTCTACAATTACACCTGTGGTTACAGGATTTGCGGGATTTCATGCTGGTTCATGGATTTTGGTTCTGACAGTTTCAAGTTCATAACAATCTGAACATCTTTGCTTATGCAGTAAACTTCTGTCTTCGATCTCTGTATCACTCCCAATGGAGGGGTTTGGATTCAGCGATGCCAGTAGTGCTGTGAGGAAGAAGAGGAGCAGTACATCACGTCGCCCTCGGCCGGACTCTCAGCTGCCTTCTGATTACCACGACATGTCTTCCTTATCGTCCACTCCACCTTCCGAAAATGTAAGCATGTAGATATTTTGAGGACTATTTGTTCTTTATCTAAAGTCTACAGCTTCTTCATCACAATGAAAACATATGCTGCCTTCTGCAGAATGCGATGAAAGCTGAAGATGGAGGGTTTGTGGAGTCAGATGAAGCTTCCAACAACGGCTCTTTAACTTCTTTTCGCGGTAGTAATGAACAGAGGCACGGTGTGACTGATTCCCGGAGGTGCAGTGAAGGGGTACTCGCACCAGTGAATTGGAAGAATTCTAGTGGGAACTTTGAAGCTGCTTCAGATGGAGGAGGCACTAATGGTAACAAGGTTAAAAAGGTTAAGCTTAAGCTTGGGGGTGTTACTAGGACGATCAATGCTAATTCTGCATCAGATGGTGCATCTGCTGTTGGGCCTTCTTCCACAAAATCTTCTCATTTCCCAGGTTCAGAACAGAAGCCTGCAAAGGTATATACATATATTTCCATTATTTTTTCGGTCAATCCAGCATCCTCTTTGGACTTCGTTCATATCATTATTGCACCACAGAATGGACCTTATGATGTGGACAAATCCTATGGAAACACTCATTACTGCTTGTAGTCATCTTCTTTCTTATATATCTCTTAATCTTGCTGCAGGACACTGTAGCTGATCATAACCGTTCCATTACGTCTGATAGGGGGAGTGGCTCACGAGGAGTATGGAAGGAGTTGCCTAAAAGTGGCTCAAGTGGTGGCAAAGGCGATGCGCTCAGGGTTAAGACACCTGATGAAAATCGCCCCGCACCAAAGCAGGCAGATAATAGCTACGAGCCTGTCCGTAAGAGCAAACGTGTCCCAAAGAGACGTCTATTAGATGGGATGTTCGACGATGGGGGCGAGGAGGACGACGAGATTCGATACCTTGAGAAGGTCAGTTATGGTATGGAATTCGAAGATGAGGATGAAGCTGGTAGCAGGAAGAAGCGGAGATTATCTAAGGTAATGAAAGCGAACGTCAATGTTGTACATGATGCTGATGCTCGGGGCTCATCGAGGTCGGGCAAAGAGGCGAAGAAGTCAAAGTCAGGCAAGGTCTCTGGAGACACTGATTATATGGATGATGATGAATTGGCTTCAGAAGGCGAGCCAACGACTAAGAAGAAGAGACTGAGGAAAGAGTTGGCTGACATACCTGTTGTTGAGACGAAGAAGGAAATTACGGTTACCACTCGTCAGAGAGCTCTTCAAACTGGCAAAGATGCATCTACTGATGTGGGTGCTGGCTTGATTGAGTTCCCTAATGGACTGCCTCCAGCGCCTCCGAAAAGTTAGTCATGGCTTTACATCTTTTGCGTCAATATTCAGTTCAATGATGCATACTCATGACCAACTCTCTTGATTTGTATGCTACCAGAACAAAAGGAGAAGCTCTCTGAAGTGGAGCAACAACTAAAGAGAGCTGAAGCGCTTCAGAGGCGTAGAATGCAGGTGGAAAAGGCAGCTAAGGAGTCTGAGGTATATGCTCACATACCATATTCCAAGCATGCTCTTTTTGTTCTGTGTGAATCACTTTAGCCTTTGCTAACTGTGTTTGTTGTGATCTGGAACCTACTGATTGGAAAACACAAAAGGCTGAGGCAATCAGAAAGATTCTGGGCCAAGATTCGAGCAGGAAGAAGCGTGAGGAGAAAGTAAAAAAGCGGCAGGAAGAAATAGCGCAGGTGTTGATCTGTTATATGCCAGAATGAGCACTCTCTTTTATTTGAATGAACTTTCACCTATGCTAATAATCTTTACAACTTGGAAAAATGCTGTTTGCAGGAGAGAGCTGCAAACGCCATGGTGCTCCCATCTGACCGAGTGAGATGGGTAATGGGTCCTTCTGGCACAGTAGTAACATTCCCTGAAGAGGTCGGCCTTCCCAGCATATTTGATCCCAAGCCCCAAAGGTATGTTGAACTAGAGAGAACCTAACTCATTTTAACTCGTGAAAGCATGCCTAAATAATAAGAAACTTGGATCCTTAACGTAGAAGCTTACTAAGCTGAGTTATTTGTTAATAAAGTAGCCACTGTCTCATTCCATTAATCTGTGATAATTCGGTTGACTCAACATGCCAAATAGGCTCGCCCCATTGAATACCCTTCCCACCCATAGCAGAGCCATAAGTTTGCATCTCAGAATTCGTGTGTTGGGACCTGAGTGACTGCTCCAGCCTCCGGGTACTGATCAGTCAATTTTGGTGACAATGATCAGCCCTTTGGACCGGTTGCTCTGCCGAACTAACTGGCATATCAGACGGGATAAGACATTGTGACTGTTTTCACGGATATTTTCGAGTTTCCTTGTGATATATTGTATTGATCATTTCAGCATGCACTACCAGTTCGTGAATATATATTTATCTGCGTATGATCAGTATGGTGCTTTAAGATGCTAACTTTGGTTTCCCTTTCTCGGGGGGTTGATTTGTTGATGGCAGTTATCCACCTGCAAGAGAGAAATGTGCTGGACCATCTTGTCCTAATCCATACAAGTACAGAGATTCCAAGTCCAAGCTTCCACTTTGCAGTCTGCAATGTTATAAGGCAATCCGTGCATGATAAGGAATACCGTCTTCTTCCTGATTAATCGTAATAATTGACTCCGAGTGTTGATAGCATGAGATCATTAGCTGATTTGTTGTCTAATTAGCATCTCAATTATAGTAAATGGTAAATAAAAGACATTGTTATTGTTATCTTTCACCAATTTTTGTAATTTTTTCAGCTCCTGTGATTTTGCTCTCCTGTATATGTATTATGTATATGATGGCAATTGGCAAGTCAAGAAAGTTTAAGTTGCATTCGCTACCTCTGTTGCACGTCCCTACCACTACTGTGGCCAAGACATTGAAAATCTTGCTAAATTTTATCACCATGTTCTTTGATCTTTCCAGTTTACAATCTATGGTTAACGAGCATTTACCGAATATCGACTCAAACCTATTAGTATGAGATGAAGCTTGATAGGCGACTTACCATTACTACCGATCAAGATGAATCGGTGAGATGATGTAAGAACGTATTAACTGCGACATTTCGAAAATGTCGTTTGGGGTCAACAACATCCTAGCGTTAGAGTGACGATATAATTTGATTATAAATTATAAATAAACAACTAGAACCTCCATAGAGTGATTATAGTTCACAATAATCAATAAGCTTGATGGCTTCTTCTTCTTCAACGACTCCTCGAGTTGGCAGGGCCATGGGTGGTGAATGTTGGGCTTCTGGGCCCAATCGATAATTTGATCTTTAGGCCCCAAATGTGGCTGGGTTGGTGTCTGGTAACGGTCTTCCCTCTCCCGGGCAAAACGAGCAGACTTCATCTTCCTTCTCAAGTTTCTTTCTTTCTCGCTTCTTCTGTGTCTCCGCTCCCTTCATCGCTTTCCAGAAACATCCAAAATTTCCCCCCATCGCTTTCCAGAAACATCCAAAAGCTCTTCTTCTTAGCTCTCCGTTCCTCCGTGCTCTCCTTCTCGCCGTTCATGGCCGGAGCTTCGCAGAAGCAAGGGAGTGATCAGCCTGTGGTATGTATCCCTTCCTTTACTGTCCCATTTTCCTCTCTGTTGATTCTCTTTCTGCGTCTTCGTCTAGCTCTGAACCATAGCACATCAGGGAATTTCAAGCACTTGAGCGTAGCAAAAACAAAAACCAAAAAAATGGTTAATGGGTTCGTTATTCGTTGTTTACTGTTGTTTTGTTTATCTATTGGTTCAGGACTTCCAGGGATTTCTCAATGACTTGCAGGATTGGGAGCTTAATCTCAAGGACAGAGACAAAAAGATGAAGCCTTCACTTGCTTCTGATCAGGTGAATCTCGAAATAGTTGGCTCTTGCTACAAAAGACAAAAAGATGCTTTGCTTGAGCTATGGTGTACCCTAGTAGGGTTTACAAGGATCGCTGTCGGGAAGCGAGAAATTTTTGTTCTATTAGACAATCTCACAGAGATGGCGTTAAATTTTTGGGAAGGAGTGCGGTCATTTAGGAGAAACTGTGGAAGGGTTTTGGATTGCATGTAATGAAGTTTGTAACATTGCCATTGTTAGATTAGCATTCTCCAATTTTATTGTCTGTCTTCTCTCAGATTGGTGGGAATGGGAGTTCTGTGCAGAAAAATTATGCGTCAGATTCTTCAAGGAGGACCGTTTCAGGAGGACTTTTCGATTATTCTAGGAGCATTGATTCGATAGGCAGGATATCAAATGATGAGAATGCAGTGGATGCTACTTCAGAGAAAGAATTGGTAAGGAACTGAGTTCCATTAGCTAGTTCTTTGTTGTGTTCATTTGTATAGGTTTTGTTGATGGCAAATTGATTGGGAAATGGATGACCCAGGGCAATGAGTATTTTAAGCAGAAGAAATTTGCAGAAGCTATAGAGTGCTACTCTCGGAGCATAGCTCTGTCGCCAACAGCAGTCTCCTATGCAAATAGAGCAATGGGCTATATCAAACTCAAAAGGCGAGGATTATTTTTCTTTTTGTTTCCCCATGCCTTACATTCTTCTAGTCCTTTGATCTCTGCTACACCTGCAAATTGGTAAAACATCTCTTGTGGGATTGGATATGGAATGATGATGATGTTTCATTGCTTCAGATTTCAAGAGGCCGAGGATGATTGTACGGAGGCCTTGAATCTAGATGATCGTTACATAAAAGCATACTCGCGTAGAGCTACAGCTAGGAAAGAATTAGGAAAATTTAAGGAGTCAATGGAAGGTACAATATCCCAAATCTAAGTTTTAATCTTTTTGGGATTGGGTCTATTTTGGGTGTTCTGAATCTATTACTTACTGCAGATTCTGATTTTGCCCTAAGGTTGGAACCAAATAACCAGGAAATTAAGAAACAGTATGATGAGGCGAAGTCTTTGTACGAGAAGGTAAGACTTTCTCTAATTTAATCCTTTGGTTGGCTTGGTGCTGCAATTCCAAGAATCGTCCATTGATGGTCCTAATCTTGTGCAGAAACTGTTTCAAAAGATATCGGGAGATTGTAAAGCCTCCACGAAATCCTCAGCAAAATTTGGAAGGTCAGACATTAAAGTGAATGGGGGTGGAGATGTTTCTGTTTTGAGACCATCCCAGGCTGCATCAGCAGCTGTTCAGAAAGATAAGACCAAGGTTGTGCCCCTCAAAAGAGATTGTCTTTCTAAGTATGTTCATGTCTTTTCTCTGGTCTCAACTTCCTTTGGTCAACAGGAGGATGGTGGTGGAGCTCTTGGGACCAAAGCTCTACCAATAGAGGAAATAGAAACTATAAGCTCAGTGGCTGGTAGCAAAGCTGAAAGGCAACATGTCAAAATTCCTCAAGCACCTGCTGGCCCAGGTTCTAGTTCGGGACAAGTACAGGTATAAAAGTTGAATACTTCGTTTCTCCAAGGTTTACAAGATAGCTTAAAATATTTGTTAACATTTTCTGAAGGCATTGGTTATCATAGAATTCATGTTCTTAGTACCTTTTGATTCTTCTTACAGAATCGTTGCAAAACTGTAAAGCAAGAGCTTAAACCTTCTGTACATGAGCTTGCTTCACGAGCAGCTTCTCGTGCCATGGCCGAAGCTGCAAAAAACATTACACCACCAACTTCAGCTTATCAATTTGAGGTTTCTTGGCGAAGGTTTTCTGGGGATAAAACGCTGCAGGCTCACCTGCTAAAGGTAGGTCTGCCTATGTTTAAAAGTTTTAAACCAACTTCGTTCAGGGTGGTTACCCTTCATTCAGAGTTGATTCCTGATTTCCTTTGATTTCCCATGTCAGATCACCCCTCCAAGTGCATTACCACAGATATTCAAAAACGCATTAACTGCTCCTATGCTGATCGACATCATCAAGTGTATTTCCACATTCTTCAAGTGAGTATATTCATCCATTTGACATCAATGGCAATTCCATCTTCAGTTATTTAACTGAATCCCTCATCATGAATTGTTTGAGTTTTCAGAGACGACATCGATATGGCGGTTAAATACCTAGAGAACTTGACGAAGGTCCCAAGGTTTAGCATGCTTATCATTTCTCTTTCAACACCCGACAAGACTGGTAAGTTCTTCCAACACACTTGAGCTTTCACTTGCATGTCAGTTGTTCAACATCTCTTAGACTTACTAAACTGCATCTCCTTAGCAGATCTTCACAAGATGTGGGACGAAGTATTCTGCAGCGAGGCGACTCCAATTGAGTATGCAGAGATCCTCGATAACTTGCGATCCGCATATTGCATCGGATGATTGCATAAAGTAGCTGACTTGTTTTTTCTTTTCTTTATTCACCAAAATTGTACCTGTAGGTGTAACATACTTCTTTCAAGGTCTGATGAGTAATGAACTAATGATTAATTAATATATATTAAGGTAAAGTGTTGTTACTGTTCACTAAGATTAGATTTTGGTTGGATTGCTAGCACTGAATGGCCTTGAGCCTTCTAATGAGCTTTTTATTACCTTTTGGATTTGAGTTGCATTTGCAATGAAATAGGTCTTTCAATTATGCCCTTTTCCCGACTGTATACCATTCAAATGCAACTTTTTTTCTCCTTGACAATCCCATATATGGGGCTTGGGATGGAATTTTATAGTGGTGTAATTAGGATGGAATTCAGTGACCTGGAAGTTTGATAACGAAGATGAAGGAAAAATTAGGTAAAAATGACATCTATAGTGGGGGAGATTATGCATGTATGTAGTGAAAGAGTATAAAGATTGAAAGGCAAGAGAACCATGCTCGAGAAGAACGAGAGAAGAAGATAAGAGATGGACGATAAACATAAGTAGGCGATCAAGAAGTCGATCCCACTATTTTTTTTTTATAAGTGAAGGTCATAGACATATTTAGGTAGGCCTCACATTAAGCAATTGGTTTGTTTGGCAACGGATCAGGTCAGTAATTCTATGGTCAGTAACCATGAGTAATCCGTCCACATCAGCATGACATCACTATCCCTCTCTCTTCTGGAAATGCTTTTATCTTTTCTCTTTAATATTTAACGGTCGATTTCTCTCTCGTTTTAAGTCGAAATTTAAATTTTTCTGCACAGATAAATCAGATTAAATGTGCTCTTTAAAATGATATCCACTTTTATATATTTTTAGTACAAAAAAAAATTTGAATAATTTTTTACCAGTCATTACCATATGGTATGCTCATATTTAATACCATATGGTAAGAAAGCGTACCATGATTGTATGAACATACCAATATGTTAAGAAGTTTGAATACATGATAGTAGGAGTATACTAACTGTCATTTACGACTTTCATCATTGTTTACCACAAGTTATCACCCACATACCGTAGTGGTAAAGTATGGTAATTTTTGGTCCAATATTTTTTTCACCCAGAAATTTATAGATCCAATAGATCATGATGAACTCGTTCCTTCCGAGCAAACGTTTTCAAAAACGACTTGAAAACGAAGAAGTTACCATATGGTATGTAGTTGGTAAAAAAAAAGTTTCTCGAAATATATTGAAAATTGATATCATTTTGTAGAGCACAACGAACTCGTTCCATGTGTGAAAAAAATTGAAATCCGAGTTAGAACGAAGAAGATAAGAGTCGATTATGAAAACTAGGGAAAATAAAATGTCTTTAATTGACAACCCTTAGATCTGGATTTTTTGGGCCCACTTAGATCTAAAGGTCCAGATTTAGTTACTCATAAGTCAGTAACCAATGGTTACTGACCCTATCCTAAGTCGATTTGTTTCGACACATCAATATGCTCCATAGTTTGTGCCTGCAATGTTTATATATATATATATATATATATATATATATTAACTTATAGTGCAATCTTTTTCTTCAATAAATTCTCTTACATAGTTTGGTATAAATGAATTTCATAGGTTTTGAAGAATTCATTTTGAAACGAAAATTTATTGTGTTTGGTATTTAAAAGAATTCATTTTCAATTCTAATATTTGAATTGTATGGAATTGGAACTAGTTATAGCAATTCCGAGAAATTGAGAAGTAATTTCCAAATGAATTCCACAAGTATTTACTAATTATAATAGATTGACATAATTATTCTCTTTTATTTACTAAATTACTTATACATATGACATACCAAACACATGAATTCATTTGACAATGAATTCTACACGACAATTCATTTTATTTCTAAATATTTGAATACGACATACCAAACACAAGATTTCAGTTGACAATGAATTCTACCAGACTGTTAGGTACCAAATGAATCGAGAATTCATTTTATTGTAAAATGAATTACTATGTAGAATTCATTCTCAAATGAATCTTGTGTTTGGTATGTCATATTCAAATCTTTAGAAATAAAATAAATAGTCGCGTAAAATTCATTGTCAAATGAATTCCTTTGTTTGGTATGTCATATGTATAAGTAACTTAGTTAATAAAAGAGGATATTATATCATTCTATTAAAAATAGTATATACTTGTGGAATTCATTTGGAAATTCCATCTCGATTCCTCAAAATTGCTATAACTAGTTCCAATTTCGTAGAATTCAAAATTTGGAATTGAAAACGAATTCTTTCAAATACCAAACACAAAAATATTTCATTTCAAAATGAATTCCTCAAAACTTATGAAATTCATTTATATCAAACGATATGTACACGGTAATTCATTTTACAATGAAATGAATTCTCGATTCATTTGATACCAAATAGTCTATAGGCATACATTGTTTTGTAATAGACCAATGCACCAAAATTTTGAACTTCTTTATGTTCTCTTTTGGCTTCTCTGGGGGTTCTTCTTCAAGAAGATAACTCATTCAAATACAAATAAGTTGCACATCACAAAAACACACCCATTACAAACACTTCTACTATCCTATATAGAATTGGTGCTTTAATGTACAACTTTAAGTTGTACCATAACATTAAATGTATAAGTTTAGGTTGTACCATAAAAGAATTTGTACCATTATGTTTTGGTACAACTTTACAGCTTGAAGTTGTCCTATCACAAAAAAATACAAGTTCCAAGTTGTACCATAAAAGAATTTGTACAAAAAGTATAAGTACAATATGAAGTTGTACCATAACGTTAAATGTACAATTTCAAGTTGTATCATAAGGGTAAAAACAATTTCAGGTTGTAAAATTCCTCCCCCATTACAACCAACATCGACGGGCTAAGGTGAGACTCGAATCCTAGCCGTAACGAAGGATCGTTTGGAGAATATGAGTTTAAATCTACAGATTGTCAACAATCTAAAGATTCTAATTCTCCATATTGTTGAAAACAGATTTTAAAATGTTTATTGTTTGGTAACTGTGATTGTTAGCATTCAATTAAAATAAAAAATTTAATTTTATATTAAATAAAATTTGTATCCTTAATAAAAAAAATTAGAGTGGTTCAAGAAATATTAAAAACTTTGTTGATAAATAGATTTCATGTGATAAATAAATAAAAGTAAGAGAAAAACTAGGAGAAAAAAAATCTCATGAATCAAGATATAGAATCTCTCTAATTATGAGAGATTTGATATCCGCAGATTTTAGAGATTTAAAATCTCTAAAGCTAGAATCCACCATACAGAAAGCAACAAAAAAACATATTTTTTTATAAAATCTACGGATTCAGTGAATCCATATCCTGAATCCGGTTCTCCAAACGACCCCGAAGTGATGCACCAAACCTAGTGTAATATATAAGATGTTCCTCCCCTTGTTTCTTAATCTGCTTGTGTATTCTACGTTTCATTGAGTAAAAGTGATGGATCAAGAGAGATCTTACCCTCACTGCCAACTACATTTTGATCAGTTCTTCACAAGACATCAGGCAAAATTGTATGACCTTTATTTATTTATATATTTCATTAGGACTTAACTGAAAGGAAAATAAAAAACAGATAAAGGGCAACATATGTCATATTATCCATCTACAATTGTTGCAATTTTCAAGGGTTACCATGGTAATTACCAAACTAATTAATGCTAAATTTCATTAACAATAGAGAAAAATATCTTGACCAAACTAACCAAATTAATAAAACAAACAAATTAATCGAACTAAAGTTTAATATATTCGGTTATTTGGTTAATCGTGTTAACCAATAGAGCATTACATTATCATTAAGTGATAAACAATTGTCTAATATATATACAAGTTTATAAGGAAATGAAATGAGTGTGTATGTGCGAGTTGTCTTAGTCTCTTAGCAGTTATCTTAGGCGGAAAAACTCTTCTCTTTCAGGTTTTCATTAAACATAACATATGAGTTTTTATCTAAATTAGAAGCTCATATTGTTGTTGGATACACTCAACAAGAACAAATATAGTATAGGAACAATCAGAGCATCCACATCAATGCAATTGCAAGTCCATGCAATTGTATATGAGGTTTCTATTGCCACCTCAATATTTTGCAAAGTATTTAGTTTGTGATATATAATATATTATATACATGGTTAATAATTTGATTGGTTAACAATGTCTGAAATATAAAGAGACAAAATATTGGAGATGATCCTATAGGACCAAAACCTTAGGTTTCGAAAATGGAATATCAATCCTATTCCTAGTAAGATAAAGACTGAGGTTTTGAAAAAGACTAAAGAAATGCAAATATAAAGAGACACAATCCAACGAAAGGAACATTTTGATTACTATACATATAGATTTACTGATTTACAGAATACAGTACCTTGAAAGTAGAGACATAGAAACCATACCTATGGTTCTCAGGAGAACAATGAAGAACAACATCAACCAGTATCAGTACATAATATGTAGTTCCATAAAGTACTTCACAAAGCTATCTTACAAGCATAAATATATGCATTAAGTAGTACTGCATGCATGCGATTGTTGAGTAAAAGCTTCGATTAGGCAGTGGGGTAAGAAGCTTGCATAGCAATGCCGCATATGCCTTCCTTAGCAGGAATATCCCTCTGCATTCGGATGTATCCTTCCTCTCCCCATTGAGCTCCCCAGGAGTTCTTGATCAACCAGTACTTCATTCCGCCACTCTCACCATATCCGACGGCGGTCACCCCATGGTCCAATTCAGTCCCACATTCTCCAGTGAAGATCCCGCTCTCGTAGAGTTGGAACGAGGAATCCCCAGCATCAATTGCCACGGAAATTGGTTGACTAGCTACCGCCTTCAGCAATGCGGATTCGCTGTTGGTAGGAACATCTTCATACCCTTTGATCGTAGCCGCGTGGTTGCCTTCTTTGCTAGCACTGCAGGATCCATCGGCAGCACTGTACGGATAATTGGACTCCGTGGTCAAACCCTTGTTCTGGATGATGAATTTGAAAGCATCATCCATCAACCCGCCGCTGCAACCTTGATCCTCTCCTTTGGTGTCACAGTCAACCAATTCTTGCTCCGAAAGGGATACCAATTTGCCGGTACTAAGCTGAGTGATTCCTTCCATGGCCCCTACAGCTGAGAACGCCCAGCAGCTTCCGCACTGGCCTTGGTCTTTGATTGGAGTGACGGCTCCCTTCTTCCTCCAGTCCATGGTGGTCGGCACTGCAGTCACGTTTTCGTACCTGAAGGGTCCCTGCTGCGCCGAACACATGTGGCCCTTGAACCTGTTCCTAGTTGCTCTGAACTCCTCGTTCGTGAGATCCGCAAACTGGTTGGTACCTAGCTTGTAAGGCTTGTCTCCTGCGGCATTGAACGAGTCGACGAGGGCTGCATTGTCCTTGAATATCTGGTATCGTGCCTCCTTCTCGTTGGAACTCCTGTAAACTCGCCCGAAACGTGCCATCCATTGCTCGTGCCTAAGGCGCATGGCGGCCTCGTGAGGGGCAGAGCGTGCCATGGCTTGAGAAGCCAGAGATCCCAGAATGAATATGGAAGCGAGGAAGAACAACTTGCTATTAATCAGGACTGCCATTTGGGAAATGCTTTGAGGTATATGATTAAGTAGAAGAGAGGGTTTGTGGCTTCTCTTAGGCTGACATGGTCTGCTTTTATATACCAGGGCAGGGGATCAATCAGCCGTTGCATGGTGAGCTGATTGCATTCAGATTGTGGAAGTTGAAGGGTGATTCATATCAACGTGACTGACAAAACCTTTTGATTTGGACCCATTCCCCTATTTTAATCACATGATTGATTAGCGTTCAATTCATGAAGAAGTAAACTAGTGTTCGTCCATACAAATAATTGACTTGTAATCCATCTTCAACGTAATTTTGCTGTTTCAAAGCAATGTAAACATACGTAAATTATATTTAAAATCATTAATCATTCAAGAATGAACCAACCCAATTTCGTTTCATTTCAGGTCATATTTCATCAAGATGTATAAATTATTTAACATTGTGAGTAAAGATTAAATATTATGGGTTGTAAATCATAAACGTTAGTCGAGTCATGATGAGTTCCCTATATAGTGTTATATTCTATGAGAGTTCTTAGGATTCCGATTAGGAGTGTTCAAATGTTACATGATAATTATCAAATCAAATCAATTTAAATTTTATGAATAACGGAATACAATATAATAATCAAATCAATCAAAACTAATACAACCAAATTATATTTTAATCGGTTTGGTTAATTGCTTAACCAATGTAACAAGTATAACATGACATTATCAGTACATGAGAAAAATATTCTCTTGTTAATGTATCAATCCGTGATTTATATAATTAATAAAACATAATAATCAACACATAGTTAACTCTTAACATAAATACATGCAACTAATATAATTATTTTAGAGTCATATTAGAAGTGGTCATCTAACAAAAATACACGGGAATGGTATGGGGTTAATGAATTGGGTGTTCATATGTGAATTGTCTTAGTGTCTTAGCAATTATCATAGGATGAAAATGTCCTTCCCTTTGAGGTTTTCATCCAACATAATGTATGAGATTAATCTAAATTATGTGTCAATATGTTGTTCTCTACACTATAGAAGAACACATATAATATGAGAATAATAATGAGTTTTATTTTTTTATGGGTTAAAAAGGGAGGAACGTCGCTTGGCTATTGAGAGGTATGCAAAATATGAGTATATAATATATTAGATACATGACTAATTGCTTAATTGGTTTAATTAATTATGAGTGTTTAAAACCAAATCAAACCAGCTAAACCAAACAAGTTAAATCCTCCTCTACAAATATATTAGAGCAGAGTTGAGAGCGGTTTTTTAGTATTTCAAATTTCCTGTAGCGAGAGCGAAAGTAGGAATGGTAATTGTGTCTTTTCAATAATTATTTTTTTTATAAGAAAAAAACACATCAATATCGGGATTTGAACCATGGTCTTCCCAAAGAAGGACAACAACCATTACCAATTACACTAAAGAAATGTTTTTTATTTTTTATATACAAAATCTAAAAACCTAAACTCTAAAAATCATATAACTTTTCCACTATTGTTAGCTAGCCCGCTAACTTTCCGTAAGTACTTTCTTTATTATTTGATATATGAATTTTCATATTTTGATTATTTTAATTTGAGATTAATAATTAAATTAAATTTATGTATATCTTATAAATGGAGGATAATTTTAATCGCAACCCAAATATCATTGATTCATATATTGCATATTGAATTGCAGTATTGAATGTGTAGATGTGATGTTAAATTCTTAACTTGATATTAGTTTTTAGAACTATTAAAGCAACAATATTGTTATGCAAACGGTTAGTTTGGTTAATAGTTAAATCCTAAATCTCTTCATAATATGGCATGATTGGACTAATGGGTAAGTTTAAAAGAACAGAATTTCTGAATACTAATTTTCTAGATGATTTCAATTATTTAAATCTTTTATCTTATAGGGTAATTGACCATATGCATCATTCATAGTTACTTAGTTTAATATGAAAAAACCGCAGTACAAGACAAATAATGAAAGTCGGGCTCGAGTTTTCTTGGACGCATTAATGTGGTCATGTGCATTGGCAAGGTAGGTACCACAATATAGGCTAATTTTTTTGTCGAGTTAATAAGATCGTCCTTCAACTAAATTTAGAGTATGTTGGTTGATCAATATTTTTTCATTGCATAGAGTATGGATGGAAAATGTTATTTTCTTACTAATTTTGTAATTGTATTGTGCAGAATACTTTAAGGTTTAGGTATTTCTATGTATGTATTATTTCACAAGCAAAAGAAATAAATTTTGGCTAAAGGTTATGATCATGAGTTTCCTATTTATGTTATGCTTTTTCAGACAAACTCTTTTTTTGTTATGTTAATTTTCTTTTCAACCATAGACAACTAATAAGTGACTACATTAGTAAATAGACAAGTTATGAATGGTTATTCATGAGTGTTATAACAAATTTTGTTACACCTCTACCGGGCAGCTGATTGGACTAGGTCCAATCAAAGTCGTGCTCCAAAAGGGGTTGTACAAAACCAAGGGTTTGATCGTTAGAGAGGGAGAAGAAGAAAGAGAGAAGGGGGAGGGGGGGAGACTAGAGAGAGAGGCAAGGGGATGGTGGGTGGATCTTGAGATATGTATGTTTTTATGAAATTTGAGATTTTAATAGTTATAAGTTAGTACATGTCATTTCATATAATAAATTACTATCTTATATGTAAATCTACTTAGAAAATATGTAAAACGACTCAAACAGGTTGGATCTCAATCAAACCATTAAATTTCAAACCACTTACTTGACCGGTTCAACGACTTAAACCAGTTTGACAACTTTGGTTATAATCATTAAGATTATAATGTTTATCATTGATGAAAAGTTATAAGAATTTCGAGAATGGAAAAATAATTTAGATGTCACATTAATGTCATACGAAATTCAGCATTTCAAATAATTTAAAAAATTTAAATACACACCATAAATACATTTTATTCTAATGACATTCCGACTAACGGGTCGGACAACAAACTAGTATACAATATAGTAGAGTTTCACCAACTTTTCTCCATTTCAAATTTGATGGACTCTCCTTAATTTTTGGTAAGGACATAATAGTAATTATATTTTTTTTTATTTTTCTCTTTTCTATTCCCAATTTCCCACCCACCAAAAAACTCCACGTAATACGATGAATGGTTAGTTATTCTTTGTCATACCCATCTATCTATTAGATATATGATGGAGATTCATGACTCAATTTTCTTCCATTTCAAATTTTCTGCAACGAGAGTGAAAGTAGGAAGGGTACTTTCGTCATTGCAATTGTTTATTTTTTATTTGAAAAAAATATCAGTGTTAAGATTTGAACTCGAGTCTCTTCTAACAAGGACAAGAGTCATAACCAATAAGACTAAACAAATTTGTTGCATTTATTTATAAAAAGAACATACAAGAGGCAAAATTCTGAAAATCAAATGACTTTTCCAGCATAGTTAGCTACCCCACTAAGTCTTTCTTAAGCATTTTTAGTGTTGGATCTTTGATTATAACTTATTATTATTATTTTATTTTGACTTCAATAATAATGGTAGTCTATCTTATAAATTGAGGATAATCTTAAAACCGCAATCCAAATATCATTTATTCGAATATTGCATATCAAATTACAATATTAAATATATATGTGCACACACAACCACATATATATGGGTCAGACTGGTGTACTCCTGGAGTATACTATACTTCAGGTACTCTTCGTGAGATATCTCTATCTAGACCATGATTTTTAACCGAGTTTGGGGTATGATACTCTACCCTAACCTCTAATGGATAAACCCTAGGCCCCGATTCTCTAAACTCAAACCCAAAGTTCAATTTAATGGAAAATTATAATTGACCATTAAGATTGATTGGAGCTCAACAAAGTACATCTAATGTCTAAATCATGTGGAGTATACTATACTCTTGGAGTATACCAGTATACTATACTCCTGGAGTATACCAGTATGTGTGTGTAGTGTTTTCTATCATATTTTGAGTAAAATCAAAAGGTAACTCATACCCTTGGTAAGAAATGGCAATCTAGACTTTGAATTAACCTGATTTCGAGACGAGACACTATATTCTAACCCTTGACGAGTGAATCTTGGTCTTAACTATTTAAATCATAGACCCTAAACCAAGGATTATAAAACCTCATCAGAGGTTGTACCGAAAAAGTCGGCAGGAGGGTATTTTATGCGAAAACTGTGGTTAATCGTGATTCAGTCGTTTCACAACACTACATAGTGCCTACTGGTTTAGTCGAACCCCCGGTACGTTAAGGGTTTTCAATCCTTGCCCTAAACACTAAGATTATGCACATAATTTTTTGGATGTATTTTGATGAAACACGACCTTCGATTATTGTTCCTAATAAAATTGATCTTAGTATATGAGCTTCATAGAATTAAGACCTAGATTTTAATTTGTAAGGGCTTAAGGTATAGTACCATGTCCCTAGCTCCGGCCACTAGACATCATTTTCATACTCAGAGTATATCCTTCAAGGTCTATATATCATTTCCTTATGTCATTTTCTTACTCAAAATATGATAGAACCACCCATACTTATAGTTGTGTTATCCTGGCGGAAAGTCATTTGTTCTAAATGTTAGTTGGTTGGACTGCAGTTTTATCAGGGTTGTATGTTGTTTGAAACATTTTGAACTTCATTAGTCAAATATTTTTAGTACTCCTATATTATTTAGGGATAATATCCTATTTTGTGCTGAACTTTGACGTAAATAACAATTTTGGCATGAACATTCAAATAAGATAGTTTTGTCCGAATTTGAAAGAAATTAACAAATTTGACCCGAAATTTGGGTCGGTTATTAATATTGAGGGTCAAACATTTCTTTTTTCTGTGACTCAACATACAATATTAAGGTGACTGTGGTGTGACTTTCACGTAATAGGTATAATATGCTATTTTGCCCTACACTTTCAAATAAGACAGTTTTGTACGAATTTTCAAAGAAATGGATAACTTTGACCCAAAATT